GGAATAAGAATCCTTTCTGTATAAGACAGGTGATTTTACTGTGTCCAGAGCCTTGGCATTCCCTTCTCAGTCTGTGCAGCCCCACTTCTCACCAGGCAGTGCAGTGAGCAGGAGGGTTAAGGGGAGACTCGTGACTTACATGAAGTTTCTGTGTGGGTGAGACTGGACTGTGTTTTTTGTTACTTTTTAACCCAGAAACACACTAAGTATTATAGTTTACAGTACTCACAGAAAGTCTCGAAGTACAAAAATTGAATGGTTTCTGTGGGCCCTGTCTTTCAGTGGATGCATTCACTGGTGAGTTCAGTGTCAGAATATGCCCTTGGGAGATGGAGATTTTTGGAAATAGGTTACTAGGGTCATGGCATAGAAAATTCTATTCATGTTTGTCCTAGTCTCACCTTTCCCTTCTTTCTGACTGCCATGGTTTGAGTACCTTTTCCTCCGTTCCAACCTTGCCCTGCCCTTCTGAAATTGGAACAAGGAGGGCATGAACTGAAACAGCGAGTCAACATAATCAGTTATTCTTTAAATTGAGGTTGTTGGATATTTTGTCCCAGTTGCAGAAAAGAGTCAGAAATGTGCTAAATTGATTAGAAGTTGAAATAGAGATCCCCATGCTGGGGATATAGCCCAGCAGCAGCACAGCACCTGCCTGGCAAGCATGAAGTCCAGAGTTTGATTCCTGGTACAAAAAAAGGAAGAAAGAAAGAAAGAAAGAAAGAAAGAAAGAAAGAAAGAAAGAAAGAAAGAAAAAGAAATATGAGATCTCAAACACAAATTGTATTCTCCACTCTGCACTTTATGTCATGATGGTAAATTTCAAAATTACCAACCACTTACACATAATTTTAAAGTCATTAAAGCATATTTACAAGTCATATAAAAATTGCAGAATACTGTTTATTTTGCAGTGTGATGAAAATCATTATTGGGGTCCTTGCCAACCATACTAAAACTCCTTTCTCATATCCAGAGCAGTGCAATAAATGAATAAATTAACCAATAAATAAGCTTTTATAGTGCCAAAAATTATATTTAAATAAAGGAAGGTGATAACTAATGCTGTAAAGGACAGTCTTCATGAGGGACTGACTTTTAAACCCACATTTTCAAATCCCTTAAAGTACAGTACTCAAAAGTACATATAATTGATGATTTAGTGCACATAAAAAAAGTACCACTGCTTACATAATTGCTATTGTTCACTGATAGTTTATAGACAGTGTTCACAAAAGGACACGCTGAATGAGGTAGGGACTCTGATGACAAACTGTACTGCATCAGGGGTAAAGTACCAAGTGCAGGTGTGCTTGCAGATCAGTGGAAGCCACAAAAAGTTTTCTGTAAAGGTAGGAACAAGGAGGAGTACAGATAATATGGGAAAAATATGCAGGAAGATAGGAAAATCAGCTCCTGAAAAAGGCTTTTACAGAATTTTCAGAATGTGTCTTATTGTGGAGTTCAAGCTGAACTCAACACTGTTATCCTCAAGTCTCAGTCCCTCAGAGTGGCATGATTACAGGTGTTGATTTCCCAAGTATAACTGTAAAGCAGTATCACAATGCTTGGTTAAATTAAACATCATCAGTTATTCTTTTTAATGTCAAGAATATTGAAAATGTTTTTCATTGATAATGTGTGGGATCATTGTGAATGACTTCCTTGGAAACCTGATACCCTATAGAAGTATCTATGAATTTGAAATTAGTTCTGTGTGTTGTAGAATATTTTTTTTTTTTTTTGGTTTTTCTCCGGTACCGGGAACCGAACTCACGACCTTGCGTTTGCCAGGCAGGCGCTTTTGCCGCTGAGCTAAATCCCCAGCCCCTGTTGTAGAATTTTTGAAGTGAAATTCTCCCTAGATTTTGGAGGAGAGAATCTGTCATCATTTTCTGTACTATAGAAATGCATTCTATTTTTATCATAAGCCACTTTAAGGAAATATATTCATTTCTGTTAATGGTGAGACTGTGCTACATTTTCCAAACTTCAGAATGATGACTTTTCATGATGAAAAATACCACATGCCTTGGAAGCAACTTTCATTTTAAGTAATGTACTAGGACTGTACTCTGAACTTGTCAGCATTTTGGTCATTTTGCATGGTGCATTGATTTTGGGCACACTGTTTTTTGTTATAGAATTGGCTAGTGCTCCACAAAGAATACACAGTTGAGTTCAAAAGATATACTGGGAAAAGTGAAAGGTCAAACTTCAACTGATTGTGGGTGCCTTCCTCTGCTCAGCACTGAGACCTCGGATGAGAGAAGAGTTTCATCCTTTTGACCACTCTTGTTCTTTGGCAACTTTTCCTCAGTTTACTTTGTGTGATTCTCCATGAATAGAGTTGTTTTAGTTTCTTTCCATGTAATTTTTAATAAGTATTATGGATGTTGCACAGGGAAATACTTTGGGGCATTTTTTGTCTCACTGTTGACAAATGCTGATGTTTGAATCAAGGGAAAAGTGCATTGTCATGAATTCTGTGGTCATGAAGTTCAAGATTTTTCAACTTTACTTAACAATAATCACATCTCTCTACAAGAATGATAGCACAATATATTTTCTGGACGCTGGGAAAAAGTCCCTGGTCTGTTGATTTTACCAAACTCTAAAGCAAAGGAGATGAGTGTGGAGTGTATCCATTGGTTTTCCCTCTTTGCATGAGACATACTATGTTTTTCCACACCTCAGTTTTCTTTGATTTGATCTTGTTTTCTATTCAGTGTTTCTGTTGAGTTACATATGATTTATATATTCCAGAGATTTGTGTACATTGATCTTTACACGCTATATAAAATCTTTGTACTGTGTACACAGCAAATATTTTAGTCTTGTTTTATTTATTTCCCATGGTTTTCATAGACTTCGTTTCTCCTTCTAATTCTGGTAGCTACTTGTTTCCTCTGAGGAAACTTTTCCTGTGTCTAAAAGACACTTCACTATACAATCCTAAAGTATTTAAGTTTATCTTTCCTTTTCAATATGTAATTTATTTAGATAAAATGGAAGAGTATACACTCCAGATATCCAAATACATATCTCTTCCAGCACGTAAATAAAATGTTATGATTACTTTCAGATATGCTTTACACAAGATGCATCATGGGTCACTATTCTATTGATATGTGGATACTTAGAAGGCTGCCTTTCTTCCCTGAGATTTATTATGTCATTCTGTCTACAAAATGCAGATTGTAACAAAATGTGTAACCTGAAAGTGTTTTATGTAAAGTATGCAAGGTACCACCTTGCTCACAAGGTGTTGAATGTTGTCATCTGTTATACTGCATAGTTGTAATTCTTTGAATAGAGCAAAGGAGTGACTTGTAAGTGACATCATATTTTCTTTAAGTTTTACTTTTATGGGGGTGGTCTGACATAATGTCTCAACTTGAGATGTTGACTGACTGTGAAGCCACCTCATAGCTGGGGCTGGACTTTGAACTCCTGCTAATCATCAGACTCGCAGAAATTCTCCTACATCAGCCTCCCAAGTGCTGGGAGTACTTGCAGGTACCATCACACCTGGCTGAAGTTGCCCTTTTGTAATTAGTACCTAATCACTTTGTGATATCTTCCTTTTTAGTGTGTTTAATATATTTTATACATGTCCTTCCCCTCATTAATCTCACTTATACTATCCTAGGATTTTCTATACCTGAGTGCAAGGTGATCACTTGCTATCACTGAGGTATATGATACTATGCCAACTGGACCCTATTTTCATTTTGTATAGATTTGCTCCAAGAACATCTTTTTTCCATTATCATTTAGATAGTATTAATAAGCCTTCCATTTCTTCTTTTATTGGTACATTTCATCTATATGTAGTGATAACATTCATCTTAGGAATTTTTACTTGTACATGGTATGTCTTATTTTTCTTCCTCTCTCCTGCTATGCCCTCAGGCCCATCTCCTCGTAATTATGAAACTCTTTCCTCTTTATCCTTCTGTTATTTTCATTGTCTCTGCTTTTCTTCCACTACCCTTCCATTGGTACCCTTCTCATTTAAACACTTTCTTCTCAGATGCCTCAAAAAAACAAAAGTTAGAGGGTCTGTTTGATGCAGCTATTCCCTTTCTTGGTCTCTCCCCAAAATAATTAACAGTAGCATACCACAGTGATATATATCCCCATGTTTCTCCTGGCAGAGTTTGCGAGAGATAAAACTTTAAAACAACCCAAATGTCCATCAATTGGCGAATGGATAAGGAAGAAGTGTTCTTTTTTATACAGTGGGGTAGTATTCTGCCGTAAATACGGATAAGCTTGAAACATTGCTAGCTAAATGGGTGGACCTTAACATCACACTCTTAAGTGAAGTAAACTGGGTACACGTGTGTAAATATCACATGGTTTCTGTGGTGTGAGAAATAAAATAAAAGTATAAGTAAGGAAAAAATGCATATCCTTTATTTAATGTTCAATTAAATTCTTTTCTGTAAAACCAGATTCACGTTTCAAAATGCTGCCTATCTGCAGTAGAGAAAGAAGGCTGGGGATATAGCTCAGTGGCATAAGCGCCTGCCTGACAAGTGCAAGGTCTAGAGTTCGATTCCTGGTACCAAAAAAGCCAAACAAAACAATCCCTATGGTACAAAAATACTGATTTAACTCCATAAATAATGAGATTTGAAAAGAAGTATAATCTGTGATCTGTTGCAAACCTTCATTAGATATATTTCTGTCCCCTTTTTTGGAAATGGTGATTTGCAGGCTACCTCTATGACCTCTGATTAAGAAACTGCAATAATACAATTTCTGTTACCCTACCTGGCACCCAGTGCTATATTCCACTGTTACTGTAACAGGAAGAAGCAGTCTAGCATCAGAATTGTTTGTGAAACTATGTGTATACTCATGGATTTTGTGACAAAGTCATGGAGTTTTCATTTAAAGGAACATCATCCATTCACTTTGACAAGAAGCGTTCAAATTCTCGGGGTGTGAGTCTCAACCTTTTTTCAGGAAATATATATGTGATTATTTAGGAGGCACTGACCCTGGAGGATGTAACGGTGACCTTCACCAAGGAGGAGTGGGCTCTGCTGAATCCATCCCAGAAGAAGCTCTACAGAGATGTGATGTGGGAAACATTTAGGAATATAAATGCTATAGGTAAGGATGACATTGTTTTCTCATATATAATGAGAGAGCATTGGTTTTTTCTGATGGGTGCAGAATGTGAAAACATTTTGAATAATATCTCAGGCCTTTTTATATTATTCCATGAACCTAACTCTGCTAACTGCTAAGTTTTATATAATGATATGGTGACTTTTTTATTTCTGTGGCTATAATTCAGGAAGGACTTGGGACTGCCAGCAAATGGAAGAATGCAAAAATTGTTCAAGAAATCTAAGGTAATTTTCATTCATAAGGAAAAGCAGTACTTCTCAAGAGTCCATATGTGAGCAGAAATATTACAAGGAAACTCTACAAATCAGGCCATGTTCAAATTTATTTACTTGCAAAGAAATTTTGCTGATACACATACAGGTTGATTTTGTATAATCTGACCGTTGAAAAAAGAAATATTCCAATATGAGAAAGTTAAGTTATTAGTGGCATTATGCCACGAGACACTCTCTCATACATTGTTATAAAAAAATTCTTTCATTATAAACATCAAGAAAATGTATGAAGTTGCATGTATATTTATGCTCAAAGTGGAATATGCATGGGTATTCACAGCAGTTAAGTTCTGGAAATAATTCACAATACTTAAGCTCTGGTAACAGTTTACATATCAATCATTATATGCATGGAAAAGGAGGATATGAGATAGGCTTAAGGTGTTAGTGCCTTCTTATGTTCTGAGCATTTTGGTAAGCTGAACCAGCAGAATGACAGCATGAAGTTCACCCTGACCAAATGAATGATCAATGAGAATCTCAATGTAAAAATGCATTTTATTGCTCAGACTCTTGTTTATTTCTCAGCATTGAAAAAAAATATGCTATATGTATGCAGCCATAAAAGAAGAAGAATGTCATATTTTCTGGCAAAAAAAGATGAGACTACATCACAATATTAAGACAGTAAGCCAGACACAAAAAGTGAATTATCAAGTGTTTTCTTTTATATGAGATACTAAAATATAAATTAGGGGGTAAAATTAAGAAGTGATTGAAGGGGATAGTGTTCAAGTAAAGGTGTCAAGAATGATAATATGTGATACATGTATGAATCAGTGACTTAAATCAAACTTGACCTTATGTATTACAAATATATACCAATTTAAAATTCCCAAATAAATATTATACTTTGTGAAATGTGCTTTTTTGTAGGTATCCTCCAGGGCTTTCAGTGTATTCATTATAAAAATTTCTTAGCACGCATCAAGCCAGAACTTTTCTCAGTAAATTATTGATATGGAGGCATTTTATTGTGATTGATGTTTTATTTCTTACAGAAATGAAGAGGGAGAAAAATGCTATCAATATACAACTTGCAGTCAACATGAAAACAGATTCCTTCAGACTCCAGATGCTAATGTGGACAAGGAAGAAGCTGCTTTAAAGTCAGCCAAAAGTCTTGTTTGTAGAGAGCCCCTGACTGGGCACTTATCATTAAATGTGCCCATTTTATGTCACAATGGAGAGAAGCCACATGAGTGTTTGGGATTGGATGACAAGGTGAGTGCATGTAATGAACATGGTACAATCTGCAGTGAATTCCAATCCTTTCAGAAGCATGCAGGGACACGGAATGGGGACAAACCCCCTCAATGTGAGCATTGTAGGAAATCCTACTCTGAACTTAGTGAAAGAACTCACCCTGGAGAGAAGACCACTGAGGGTCAGAACAGTGTGAAAGTGTCCAGCAACCCCAGTGCTTTTCAAATGCATGAAAGAATTCCCAGTGGGAAGACAGCATGTGTAAGCGAGCAATGTAGAAAAACTTGCAATACTCAAAGTTGTAACATTCATGAAAGCATTCACACAGAGGAGAAACCCTGTGTATGTGGTAAAGCATTCCATACACACAGTTGCTGCCAAACGCATGAAAGAATTCACAGTGGGGTGAAATCCTATGTATTTAAGCAATTTTGGAAATCATTTAATAGGTACTCTCAATGTGGAAGCCATAAAGGTACTCACAATGGGGAGAAATCTCATGTATGTAAACAGTGTGGGAAAGCTTTTACCAGTCGCAATTATTGTCAACTACATGAAAAAAATCACACAGGGGAGAATCCTTATGTGTGCAACCACTGTGGGAAGGCATTCACTACACAGCAATCTTGTGAAAGACATAAAATAACTCACACTGGGGAGAGACCTTATGTGTGCAAGCAATGTGGAAAAGCATTCACTACAAAGTCTGATTCTAACATACATGAAAGAATTCACACAGGGGAGAGACCTTATGTGTGCAAGCACTGTGGGAAGGCATTCATTACACACCGATCTTGTAAAGTTCATGAAAGAGCACACACCGGAAGGAAACCTTATGTTTGCAAGCAATGTGGAAAAGGATTCACTATAAGGACTTACTATAAAAGACATGAAAAAACTCACACTGGGGAGAAACCTTATGTGTGCAAACAATGTGGGAAGTCATTTACTACACAAAATAATTGTCAAAGACATGAAAGAACTCACTCTGGGGAGAAACCTTTTGTGTGCAAGCAATGTGGGAAGGCATTCACTGTATACCAATCTTGTCAGAGACATGAAAGAATTCACACTGGGGAGAGACCTTATGTGTGCAAGCAGTGTGGAAAATCATTCACTATACGGAGTAATTATAAAAGACATGAAAGAACTCACACAGGGGAGAAACCTTTTGTGTGCAAGGACTGTGGTAAGGCATTCACTACACATGAAGATTGTCAAATACATGAAAGAACTCACACAGGGGAGAAACCTTATGTGTGCAGACAATGTGGGAAGGCATTCAGTAAATACCAATCCCGTCAAGTACATGAAAGATCTCACACTGGGGAGAAACCTTACGTTTGCAAGCAATGTGGGAAGGCATTCGCTACACACAGAGATTGTCAAGTACATGGAAGAATTCACACTGGGGAAAAACCTTATGTGTGCAAGCAATGTGGAAAAGCATTCACTCAAAGGAATAATTATAAAAGACATGAAAGAACTCACACTGGAGAGAAACCTTATGTGTGCAAACACTGTGGGAAGGCATTCACTTCACACCATTCTTGTCAAGTACATGAAAGATCTCACACTGGGGAGAAACCTTATGTGTGCAAACAATGTGGGAAGGCATTCCCTAAACACCAATCTTGTCAAAGACATGAAAGAACTCACACACAAAGGAAACCATATGCATATGAGGCATTTGGAAGAAGAGTTATTAGTAAGTCTTCATTATATACACATAGATCTCACAATGGAGAGGAACCCAGTGTATACAAAGAATGTGGGGGAAGTGCTGATTGAGCACATTTTTTATCCACTATGTGAAAGATGTCACACTGGAGAGTGATCCTATATATGTAAGCTTATTCTGACAAACTTGTGAAAGTTCCTCATATAATGGAGCCCTGTACATATATAAGTGAAAAATTTGATGTCAACATTTCTTTATGGGTTTTCCACAAAATACATTGCCTGATAGAGATCTCCTAGAATCTATATTGTTTCTGTTGTTCAGTAAATCACTTATAAACAACTGAACTGTGTATCTGTACTGTTTACTAGAAACAATATTGATGTAGTGTGTTTTATGTAAACCATTGTCTTGAACCTAATATACAGTATCTTCTAATAGTACAAGGTGAATTAAAATGTATTTCTCTTTCAAGTACAGTTAGTATAGTTTTGATTTTGATTTGTTTTTACTATGTGGAGGTTCAGTCAGCTAAAAATTGTATTTTATAAATAGCTTTTAATTGGGATTTACAACTAGATTTAATTGTATTTTTTTGGTGTATATATCTCATATTCCATATACCAAAAGATAACTTTGAATTTGATGTTACATTTGTAAATATATGCATATTTAGAGACATGGACATGTGTTTTTTTAAGGAACCAATGTGAGGATTCTGCCAACTACAAAGTATGTCTATCCCAATGTCACATTCTGCAACAAGAGAAATAATTTCATGATGAATTTGAGGACATATGGGACCAACTTTGCTAGAATTCCATTGAGTACCTGAACTCCATAGGCCACTACACTTACTGGAGGGCCACAATGATATTTTAAATCTTGTGGAATCAGCTTTAGGTTAGAACCACTATCAGTTACTTTCCAAATTCGACATTCTTCAACTTGTTATTCTGTTAAAAGTCATTAGGTCCTGTTGGAGAATGATGGGAGAAAGACTAATCATATAAATTATTTTGGTGTGCTAAGGTCCTTCTTCAAGGGGATCTGGTCTCCCTTTCATTCAAAGGGTTCTGGGCCTGAAAACTTGCTCATATCTGGGAACTGGGGAGTGATTAGGGGCTGTGATTCCCACTTACCTTGATCTGAAATAAGTCTCTGTTCTTTCACTCTTGCATTTTTTAAATTTTGTAAATCTAGTAAAATGTTTTAGGCATCCCATGTATTTCACTTTTGGGAACACCATGGATAATTGGTAAATACCGTGGGTCTACAGGTGTCAGACTATCTTGATCATCATTATTTTTCATAAGTGCATCATACATTTTCATAAGTGCATGCACTTTGCTTTTGGCAATTATATGTTGCCACTTGACTCCTGCCACTTCAGAATCCAAATAAACCCATTGTCCTTATGTTTACGAAATGAGAATCTCTGATCCTTATTCTAAGATCTGGCATAAAGAGAGGAGCAGTGACAGGGCTCTTCAGGGATAGTGATGCTCATCTCACAAGTTCATTACTCAAGATTTTAATGTAGGGAACGTTTTCTGAACATCCCAGTGTGCCAGATTAGAATTGACATTGCAGAACCTTTCCAGCCTTAACATTTCCCTAAGCCTCTAAATCCCCTCATCAACAGAAAACCATGAAATGTAAGGCACTTCAGAGTCATTGATAGTGGGCCATATTTTGATCCATCCCTCTGCCAAAGAGTGAAATAAATTATTAAAACTTTTCTTTATTCCATGGGCTGCAACATTAAATTCAGAGTCACTGCTGAACAGGCCCATATCAACAAATTTAGGTTGATCCAAATGTATCATTTTCACACTATTATTATTCCACATGTAAAACCCATTCTCATATTGCTCACTAAGCCTTTGATTATCAGAGAAGACTCAAGAAATACTTTGAGAGAATAGTGGACCTCCTCATAGGTAGGATTCACCCTTAAGAGTGTCCTTAAGTTTGAATTTTGCTGTAGGCATTCAGACAATCATGCATGGTGAGGGTGGCCCTCACTAATATCAGGATTATTAGGCTTAGTCAACACAAAATCAATTTCCTCATGTATACTAGCAGAAGCTAATTCCACAGGGGTGGGGTTGTATATACCTCCAACACAGGTTAGGGAAATCTTCCTCTGGGAAAAAAAATCTCATGAGATTTTAGATGCTCAACACTCTCAGCCTCATCAGGATCTTCGTAAACAGTTCCATAACAGTGCACATTCTATTCCAATCAGAGCCCTCACCTTCAGATACCCTTGACGGCTGAGCATTAAACTTACACTGTTGTCAGCTAGTCAAATTATGAAGGCCTGTGTTCGGGTTTTGTAATCTTATTCCAGTAGCTAAAGGAGGGGAGATTACTTTTCAGGGCACACTTAGATCCTTTCAAGTTTTTTTTGTGTGTGTTTGCAGGTAGGTAGGAATTTGAATCTTTGAGCTCCTTGTTTTCCTGTATACATTTACCCTCAAAGAAGAATTTGATTGCTGGTGGGTTGGTTAAGCTAACTGTTCTTCAGTTCCTCTAAAGATTCTACGAGCAACAACAATCATCATTGTATTTTCCACTCTGCCAAAAATATTGCAAAGTTTCATATATAAAGTCACTAATTCCTTCCATTTCATAAGTGGTAAATTAGGACAATCAAATGGATCTCAATTGTATGTTTTAAAGAGTTCACAGCAAGGACTTTTAGTATTCTCCACAGTACGAGAAGGAAAGACCATGACATCTTTAGATCTCATCACATTAGCCAAATCCAGGAATTCCTAAAGCCATTAAAGAACTTCATCTAGAGGCATTAAAGAATTTCTCTAGAGCCAGAATCTGTATCAGTCAGTACTTATTAGAGAAGCATTTAATGGAAGATACACAAGTAGATTTAGAAGATTGGCATACAATAGCCACTTGTACAGTGAGATGTGGAAAAGTGCAAAAGGCCTGTCCATGAGCTGGAGATCTGAATCCTTCTGTTGAATGCCTGGTGCCCACTGTAGTGCTCTATCCAAGTTCATATCAAGAGACCAAGTGGTGTATGCCATGAAGGATGAATGTTCTGTGCTGGAAGATGAGGAGCTTGCACTGGAAGCCAGGAGACAATGTCCAAGGTGAAGGTGAGCACTGGAGTTCCTCTGAAGAAAAACAAGCAACTTTTTAATTATGTTTCTCTTGTCACTTTCTGGCAGCAATCCTTATTGTGGGTCTTCTATACGTAGAAGTGTACCTTTTCAATTTAGGTGGGCATTTCTTACTCAAGTTGACACACAGTTAACTACCTCAAGTAAGAAATTGCTCCAAAAAGTATAAATGATGTTATGATTTCTCAGTAACAACATTGTTAAAGTGATTTTTAGCAATAGTGGAATTATTTTTTGGAGAATGATTCTTCCTGGATACTATGAGGCAAATGCCTTTAACCTATTCCCTGATGCTGGCAATGCCATTACCTTTGGTAATTTTTATTGCTTTTGGCATGGCTAAAGTGACTTCATTTTTCCTGCCTCCACCGTAGTAGTCCCTTAAACTTAAGATGAACTCACTCCTTACCCCTCCCTTTAGCTAACCACAAACCCACTAAAGGACGAACAAGTCTTTCATCTAGAGGAACCAATAAATAAAAGGAACTGTGGGTAAGCTAAGATTAACTTCATCCTGCCTAACTAACGAACACCCGGGAAATGTAAATCTTGTGACCTTGTGAAAAACCCTGTAATGTAGTTGTGATGGTGATTGGAAACTTGTTAATGTATAAAGCCCTGGAGAACAAAGCCTGGGTCATTGGTGTTTTGGCATTCTGATTACTGTCCTGCTGACCAGAATAAAGCTTGCTCGTCTATTCTCAGTCTTCTGTGAGTGTTTTTTGCAATTGGCCATTACATTTGGAGATCCTAGCAAGATCTCAAGGTTCTTCCTTGAGGAGGCCCTGTGCCTCTTTGCCTTAGTGGTTGATGTTTGTGTGGCGGGGCACCCTGACTAATTTCAGCCTGTCTCCTGAGACAGCTGTGGGGCAGGATGCTGTGGCTGTGAGATGGAACAACTGAGCTCCACCTCCCTACCTAGGTAAGCATTTAAAATTTGGTGCCTTTGAACTTGTCAAGGGACTTGTTTTCCAGACTGATGTTTGGTTAAATTTATGTGGGCCCTGCCATTGGACACGGTGGAGTTTTATTCTTAGCATGGTGGAGAATTTTGTAAGAGTTTTCTCTCAGAATTGAGTCATTTCTTGACTCTAAAATTCTTCCAGATTGATGGTCAGTAATTGTAAATAGTCCCCAGGACTATTTTGTTTGTTATTTGTATAGTTTGTATTTTCCCAAATGCACTTGATTTTCAGATCACACCTGAATCTATCACGTTGACTGTGAGTCAAATCTATCACGTCGACTGTGAGTCAAATCTATCATGTCGACTGTGAGTCAAATCTATCACTGTGAATTAGAATGGTCTTCTTTTGATGTGGGATGGCCAGCAGAGGGGATGATTGATCCTCAAGTAGCGAGTAGGGTGTGGGATGTTGTCACTGGAGAGCCTGGACACCCAGACCAGTTCCCCGATGTAGATTGCTGGCTGTGGACAGTATGGGCATTACCCTAATGGCTCAGGATGTGTGCTTGTGGATTTCCTGATCAATTTACGGTGATAAAAGAGAGGTCCTTAAAACAAAAACTCCCTGTGTTGCTCTCAGCTCCTGAGAAGGATGACCCAACAACCTTAGGTCTTTTGGCTCCACCACCACTCTACTCTGTCTCATGCCCTCCTAGCCACCCTTGACAATTGGGTTAAATAACTCTTAGTTATTGTGGGTTGATCAGGCCCACAATCTCCCAAGCGAGTGATGGCGAAGGCTTAAATAAATGAGACAATTGAAATGATTTCAGGGCTCCAGGAGGGTCTTGCTCTCTTACAGCTTCGATATTTTCTGAGTTTAGACACAGACTTCTCAGGGCAGTCCATATTTATTTGTTTTTCAAACAAAGGAGGAGGATACTCAAGAAAATGTGGGATCTGTCTGGCAAGAGCAAGGTTTTGAGTTTGATTCCCAGTACTGGAAACAAAACAAAACAAAAGAAAACATGGGAATCTAGTAGGACATTCTGAGGATTTTCCCAAGTAGTAAATTATGTCAATCAGGAGAACTACCTTGTCTTTAGGTTGATATTTATTGTAGGATTGAAGAGCCTACAGCTGCAGTTTCCTTGTAGTTAATTGGGGTTGAAGCCAAACATTCTCACCTGTGGCCTTATCTTGTCCTTTGAGGTGTCACAGCTTACAGGTCAATACAGGCCTCAGGGTTACCAGTGACACAGAGGTTTACGTACTATGAGCCCATTGCCCACCTTCAAACAAGATGCCCAAACTTCAGACAATTCACAAGTAAATACAGAAAGCCAATTGGTTAATATTAAATCCTGCTCAGACCCACTTTGTAGTGGTCTCCATCACCCACCAGCAACTCTCTCTGACAGATTCCGCCACAACAGACATGGAAATCTCTTCTTCAGACATGGTACCTGTTCTGTCCCTCTGACAGGTGGCCTTGTTGGGGGTACAAGGGAAACATCGGTCTGTTTTGGTTTATGCCCCTTTTTAGCACGAGTTACTTGTATAATTGGAGAGCCCAGAATCCCTCTTTTTCAGGACAGCCTTGGGCTCAGATGACCTTACTGGAGTCAGTGTTTAAAACTCACTGCCCCAATTGGGATGATTGTCAACAGATACTGCTGACCCTATTTTTTTTCAGAGGAAAGAGAGACTTTGGAAGGTGGCTGTCTTGGTTACTTTTTTCTCCTTGCTGGGACAAAATACCTGATGCCCAAAATTAAGGAAGGAAAGGTTTATTTCACTTACAGTTCTTGGAGGTTTCAGTCCGTACTTGGCAGATTATAAGGCAGAGTGGCTCATGGCAGAGAGCTACAGCTCAGGGTGGCAGATAACAGCAAAAGCAACCAGCACACACCAAGGCTGAATGGGGGAGGAATGGCCTCAAGCACTCTCTTCCTCTCCCTTACGTATGCAAACTATCCACCCCAGGGCAGATGCAGCTCTCACACCTTAATCAAACTCTTAATAGCCTGACCCTTGGCCACATGAGGCTTTGGGGGACACACAGACATAAACCATATCATTCCACCCCTGGCCCCCCAAAGACTCATGCCCACCCCCTCATACAAACAGCATTTAGTCCATCTGCAAGAGTTGCCAAAGTCCTAACAGTTTCAGCATTGCTGAA